AACCAGTTGAGGAGTATCTGCAATTAATCGATTGATTGTAATCTATCTTCCCATCTGTGATTTGCAGGAGATCAAATACTTAAATTCAATAAGTCAGTTTATTGCTTTCATGTAATAATTTTTTTTCAGGATTTTTGGTGGATAATCTGTTTCTCTCCATTAAAATAAAATGAGGAGTTGATTCAGATTGGGATCAAATAATTGTTTCCCACATCAGGGCACAATAAGCTTTATTCAGTCCTGACTTTGCTTCTTTCTTTGTCACATGAAGGCAGCACCACAGTGATCCCAAACTTTAGACTCGGTGACATTATTCCAGCTGCAAAGGACCTACAAGGTTACTACCGCTACGTGGGCTCCATGACAACACCGGGATGTGAGCAGGCAGTTGCCTGGACAGTGTTTCACAGGAAGCTGGCCATCAGTAGTCGACAGGTGAGCAAGAATAAATATGTGAAAGAAATAAAAGGCTCACAGTAGAGAAACTAGTGCTTTTGGTTGCATTTCATCCATAAACCTGTGAACCTCCAAACAGACATTTCTTTACTCTTTCACAATGTAAACAAAAACAGCATATTTGAAGAAGTTATGGAGATGTAATATTAAAATGCAAAATAAAACTATTAAAACTAAAAAAGTAGAAAATGCCTGGGGGAAGAAAAAAACTTTTCAGAAACACTTTGCATTTAAGAGGTCAAGACCTACAACAACTTTCCTTCTTTAGACAACTCTTCAACTCCTCAAACACATTTTTTCCCTCTCCACTTCACAGCTGGATGCGATAGTTAAGCAGTGTCGCTTTTGGACAGGGCAGCCCATGACTGACATTTTCCGACCTACGCAGCCGCTGGATGGCAGGATTGTGTACTCCTCAAAGTCGGGTACAGCTCAGACAACTGCGACACATTTTTGGTGTCTGTTTTTATCATTTGTGACTGTTACGCTGGGTCTGGCACACTGAATGAGTAGCAAGAAATGGGCATAGTCTTCAAGTCTGAACAGCAAAGCCAACGCACAAAGTCTTAAATCTGCATTTTTTTCTTATGGCCAGCAGGGAGTGACTTCTCAAAGTCTGATTGTATATATACAGTTCTGTGAAAAAGTATTTGCCCTTTATAACTCCTTCCTTGGGTTATAACTTCAGTAAACACTTTCTTGATGAATCTTAGTCACATGATAAAGCATGATGTATCGTTAGTAAGTAATGGTCCCTTTTTGAGTTAAGCAGAAGATAAGTACATAGAGCTAGATACATACAGCTCAGCCTTCCTCTGCAGATCAGAGGGTATGTAAAAATTAGAGATGCAAAGAAATGTTTTTATTAAAAATGCCACTGCTACCCTTAAAAGGTGCAGTTGTTTTGCATTAACTATTGGTAATGTATTCATACTTAATCATTTTTTAAGATGATCCATTTTTTCTGACAAATTACCATCAATTAAAGTTGATTACATCAGCAGCAATGCCCACATTTAGGTACGTGACTGCCAGGCAGTGTCTCGTACAACCCTGTTAGATAGTTTTCTCCTAGCACCACCATCAGGTCCACTGATTGTGAGTCAGTGGACCAGTGTCAAACTTATTTCCTTAGAGATTATTAAAGTGTTCTGATTCTGAAGATATTTGATTGTTTGTCATTAAATCTGTACAGATTCGCATATTGTACTGAGCAGAATGATAACAACAGCCTTTAGAGGAACTGGTCTCAGTCGCCAAACTAATTCGGTAGTGGTGTGAAAATGATCCAGGCAAGTTTTGACTAAAATGTGAGTGCACTCGGCTCCTGTAGCCTGATGTCCCACCTATGGTGGAGCATGCAAAGAATGGCAGCTTCCACAGTAATACTAGTTAAAACAGCTAACTGGGCGTGTTTCATAAATGCAAACATATATGTGCTATTTAAGAAGACTTTCTTCCT